GCAATGAAACCAGGGTGAAACGCTGACAATCCTCTTTATGCTATGCATCTCATAAAATAACGGCTTTCAGGGAAATGGCCTAAAGAAAATCGATTTTCATGTCAATTTTGCCCACTGGAAATCATTGTTCAGTACTGTCAGCTAATTCATAATAGACGGATCCATCAAAGTCGAGGAGATAGAATTAGCATTGGATCCCAAAGTCCTCAAGCTGTGGCAGAAGATCGCCACAACCTTTGTTCCTGACTCTATACTGCCTTTAGCTCAATGAAATGCTGTTTTGATTTCCAATGCTGAAGAGTAATCACAGAAAGCTGCAATGTCGAAATCAAACAAAAATGAAGGACCGCAGCAGAATTACCTTCACTAATTTCTCAACCTTTCTCTAGACATCTTTTTTTTCAGAGGTAAGTCGTGAGCCATATTAATAGGAAAGTAGCGGGAAAGTAGCAGAAAAGACAGTATGGATCAGTGCGGATCAAAAGCCAAAAAACAGTGCGATAGGCCTAGCACAATCAGCCCTGGTAAGTAAAATAGCATTCACGATACAAAATTAAGAATGTCGACGACTGAATCAAAGTAGCAGGTCTACAACAAAGGCAGCAAATGACAACAAACGTTATTTAGGACACGAGCAGAAGCCAGTTGATCCAATTTCTAGAACCGCCAGCCTAACGCACCCTCTCTTCCTCAAATGTAGCATGGAGTAGCAGCTGTGTCCTGGATCGGCAAAATGCAAAGGCACTAGGTTGGGTGGACAATCCGTAACACAAGGATTTCCCATATAATTGTGCAACCAACTGCACAGGGGCATTTCGGTCTAATAGGCTAATGGCTTGGCATTCAACCTATGCCACCAGTCTTCCAACCCTTGTGTATGGCCATAATAAACCGGAGCCCGGACACATGAGTCTCTAAAACTATTTGAAACAACTAAACCTTTGCGTCTATAATCGAATCAAGTTCGAAGGTACTGCAACAATTCCAAACGAAATACACCCACCATGCGTAGTGACTGAACATCTAGTCAAAATCGGGTCGAATTTCGCCCACTGCTCCGATTTCGAGTGTTGAATAATTGTACATAGTGAAATGAGATCAGATTTGAAGAAATTCGAAGCGCTACTAAAAGATCTACTTACAATGTTTACAATGAAGCAGCGTAATAACACGAATGCTCAGGTTAAGCCGAACCCTTTAGGCTTATCAAAGGTAAAACAAATTTAAAGAAAGATTAACCATATTAATTCTTAACAGGGTCACTACTACTCGTATATACCTGCTCCAACATTTAACTAAAGACCTCTAAACAGCTTCGGCTCGTAAAGATTTGTCATCACATCTGGATCAGCCTAGGATAACTTCCTTCACTTCACCATCGGTGCTGAATCCGCATGTTTCCATTGCTTCCTCCTAATGCTTCTTTTGACTTCCAAATGAAATCCTGTACCCGGCTTTGATCACGTTAAAGGATACGGATCAGAACATCTTGTCATTTCTAAGCAAAACGCCTCTTCAACTTAATCCAACAGACAACTGCACCGTGTTACGCTGTACTGTACCCTAGATTACAATACAAGGCAGCGTTTAAATCCGCCGTAAGTCGACCCTCCAGAATTGCACGGCAGCAAATAATCGTTTTCACCGTTTACACAGAAGGAATCGGTTGCCTGTACAGTTTTATGGAAGGTTAGATGCCTGCTGATTAACTCAGATCAGGTGTTCCACTCGATGACTGAATGTTCAAAGGCCGAAGTCTTCAGTGATGATCAGACAAACAGGCTATGCGTGTTTATGCAAGGTCGACACCAATTAAATGTCTTAATGTTGAGCGTGCCATCATCAAACCGAACTATGCCCGAGGTCCTTGATGAACAGCGCGTAAACTGGCCCATGAACGCCAATGCAAGCCGACTATTAGGAGTAGCAAAGGGGCGGTTGCAACAATAGCATGGATTTTACACCCATGAAATTTGAGGTCTCCATTTAACTGGAACGCTACCGTATACATACTGAACACAGCAGTATTGTTTGCGTATGGCTAGTGAGAGGAGGTCAACAGGTCTGCACACTTTTGGGTTGGTTTTCCCCGACACTCAATTGCAACACCACAGTCACAACGGCCACACCGGCACGCCTAAGCAGCCACCATGTACGGATTAGCACAAAGGTCCCAGGTGTGGGGTGAATTAGCAATTAAGTGTGGGGTGCGTAGGATCTACGTTAACCCACTTACGCTACAGCTGAGCCATAAAATCGTCAGATTTAAAAAAGAGTAGCATTTGTTTTAATTGTGCATACTATATACCCACTGCCGGCAAAGAGGCTCTTCCCATGTCAGTGACCATGCTCCTAGCGTCCCAGCCCTTCTATACGCTAATAATAAGCCTACATCCGGAAATGCAGGTGCTACGTTGGTAGTAGCTCAGTGGTATATGGTCTAAACTGTTTAATTTCTTGCGAAGAACAACGAGAGCTTTGGTTAATGGTTCAAATAAGGCAGATTTTTTATTCAACTGGAAATAGTAATGTTCACAGTGACACTAATCCCCGAAGTTTGATTCGGTGACCACGAATAAGTCTAGGAACTAAAGATAATAGCGTCACTTTTCGGTCCAAAGCTAAGTACAGAAGTTCACTACTTCAATTTAACCACCGTCTTAGCATCAAAATGGAGGAATCAAGTTCACAAAGTAGATTTGGCGATCGCACAATTAGCTCTCAGGAATAAGGCACGGACTGCAAAAAAGGGTAAGAATGGATTTTATGCAAAAAAGTTAGTCAAGCTGCGTTTGAGCGTATGTGCGCAGTTCTCGGGGTAATCCTGTAGAATCCCAGATGACAAATCGCCCTGATAAATCAAAAGTAGTATGCAGCAGCCGTTTTCCGCCCCCTAGCTCAGGATTTAGTATCCAAGTTGCGTGTCGAAAGAGGCTTTGTTAAATCAGTACATACTGTAGGCATAGGCTATTATCAAAGCTGCTAAAACCGTGCATTCATAAGGTTTGACGACAACAATGCAGAGGATAGGCAAAAAGAACGATAATGCAACCCTACAAGAACCGCAAAAATGAGACTCCTAAATTTAGTGTTACCTAACACGGCCGCCACGAGCAACAAGTCACACCACAAAATAGATCGCTTGGGTCTAAAACGATGAAATTTGTACGAATTGATCTGAGGATGATTACATCACTTTAAAAAGTAGCTTACATAGGTGTCTCTAAAGTTACTGGTCTCGCAATTTATAAATAACTCAAAAAAACTATCGGAACTCTTAGTAGCATAAATTGAGTAAAAATTAAATAGATTTGTCAGCTATCCTTTTACTCAGATAAACTGGTTTTGCCCCTCCAACCAAAAAATAACTTGCTATCGGCTAGCGGCAGACTAATTAAAAGGGTCAAAATAGCGTGCAGAAATGGTCACGCACGGTCTGAAGCAGGCGTCGCCAAAGTGCTGTTGACAGATAAAGGAGACAACGAGGAGAGAGTTATCCTGCCTCTTTCCAGCCCTCCGCTTGTCTCCATCGTAGCCTTTGAGGAGGTAGCGTCTACGGCACCGGACAAACCCGGTAAGCACAAAACAAGCCAAATCCACAATCACATAGCCGATCTTGTGAAAAGACTTGCCGCCGTTGCTTTCCTAAGCAGGAGAAAGACTGTTGACAACAAACACCTGAGTAGTAAAGTCTTTGTCTCTGATTACTCTATTTGGGAACTCAACAACATCCGTACTCATACAAGCAGCACACTACAAAGTCAGTTGCAACCACGGTACAATGGCCAGGAGAGGACAGAGCGTACATTATCCACCGTTCAATGACTCTGTAAATGGCTCGATGCGTAATTTGATATAATTTGATGCGATGCTCCCAGTCCCTCTCCCTTGGTAAATGTTTAGAAAGGGTGAAAGCGCACAGGTTCACGCACGTTCCGGAAAGATTAGTAAAAAGTGCAGTCCCACGTTTTGTTTTTTTTTTAAATTAAATAAGGATTAAATTTAAAGCAACAACTAAAAACAAACTTTGGTATTGCGTAAGGCAGAAGATCAGGGTCTAGCTGATTGATAGAGACCGATAACTGGAGTGACTAAGTCAAAATTTGATTACTTTAACAGAAATAGCGAGCCGATTAAGCCCTTAGTACTAGTACATCACAAAATCTATTTGTGATAGCAAGGAACATTTAATTCATTTACGTCAAATAAAGACACTAAGCTAGTGGCGATTACCGATGAGCATAATCATTCCTACTAAAGTGGCACAAGGGCAAAATAATTCTCGAATAAAGAAGAAAATGCAATCACACCAACATAACAATAACTGCGATTAAATTAAGACACAAGGTGCAATGAGGAAAGATCAATTTAATTCTAGGAGACTGTAATTATATATGAACCCAGAGTGGAATAAGACATGGACGGCAATCACCATCCAGACCATATGGAGCCTGTATGACTCCCTATTTTAACTTGCATTAAAAACTAACATGATAGAAGAGCACACTAAAGAAACTAACCCTTTACTCATTAAACCGTATAAACACCCATTACCTGGTTACATGCAGGTAACCCACCAAGTGGGAACAATTAAAGTTGTAATTAGGAGAAGTTTGAACACACAATGAGTCCTAAATACATAGTAATTTCAAAACAAATGAAGAATACTGACATCCATTACTAACACTAAAATCATTCTGCATCCGACTTTTGCAAACATAAATATTGGCGGCATTAAAAGTCCAAATCTAGCTGAAAAGTCGAAACTCACCATGCGAACAGATATTTTCAATCTACAGCTCTCTAAAACATTTGTTTCGGGATTGATGTGCACCTTGCACTGAAATGTATGGGAACTATTGAAGTGCACGGAGTTATCCACCACAGAAACCCTGGAAATCAGATTTGTTACTAGAAGTGAAAGTACCTTTGGCTGTACTGATGGGAACTTCTGCGACTCAAGAGGCGTAATTTCGTGAAAAAGACCCCATTCACGTAAGGAACGGCCATTAAGCTGTCTATATTGACAGCTGCGTCAAATTGAAGCCTGCGTTTATTGCTTGTAAGAGGGACACAGGCCATTTTCCTACCAACGGAAACCTCCGCACGATAGAGCACTCAGAAAACGGACTAGTCTGTAAAATCGGCCCAGAGCTCACGAAAAAGCAGAAATGCAATTGGCCACATTGAACCACGCGGTGTTACATTGGATGATATCAACGAACGCTAAAATGAGTTAGTGTTTATATACCAGCCATATTGAAAACTCAACAAGTCAAGCGTAGATAAAGTTATTCGCTAGATAAGCTTTTTAAAATAGTGTGCACAAACTTGGCAAGCTTCTAATTTTGGATGACAAGGGAAATTTGACAGCAGTTTTAATTAATAGTATATGAAAAATAATAGAACTCTACCATTAACCTCCATGCATTATAGTTTTGAAACCTCATTTTCAAGTATTGTTGCCTCATTTGCTTATGTTTTGCTATTTTGCAACATGTTCCCCATTAAATTTTGAGAACCTTTGTACTTGTATTTTAAATAATGTTGTATTGCCGGAACAAACAAATACCGTCTGCACCATTTAACTGCGACCTATTTGTAAAACTTGTTCTAGTGCTTGATCATTTTGTCTTTGCAGTCTTTGCTTTTGCGTGGATGGAGATCGGTAGGCAGATATGAGGGTAAAATCAGTGAATTTGTAATAAACAAGGAAGATTGGTGCCAACTATGAGTCTTTACCGGCTATGCTAATTGCGGTAATTCTGCAGACCATGCATTTCTTAATTCTAATAGGCTTTGTGGCTCCTCGAAACTTCCCCGAAGGCGAAATAAGACTTAATATTGGAGAATTATACATACATATACACATATGTGGAGCGAGACTCCTCGGTCTTCGCTTCCCGATTCCTAGCGTTCCTAGACAAGCCCGGTTGGTTTGCTTTGGACATCTTTATTAAAGACGACAAGATGTATAGGGAAAATACAATATTCAAGAAGGAGGGGAGCCGCAGTCACTAGGTAAGGGAGAGGGCGATCCCGTTACCAGGTTCCAATTTTCTGCTTGCCTCCTCCCTGAGAGACAAATTCAAACAACATAAGTATTACACATATACACATGTAGGGCGAGACTCACAGGTCTCCTCTTCCCTGTTCCTAGTGTTCTTGGAACAACCCGGTTGATTTAATTTTGACATATTTACTAAGGGGGAATGATCGGGAGAATAAGTAAAACGTTTAGGGCGGGGAGGAACCGCAATCACACCTTGGCACAGAAGGTGACGACCCTCTCACCAGGTTCGAATTCTTAGCTTGCCCCCTCCCTGAAAGGCACATTAAAACAACATAAGTATTACATACATATATATGTATTTTTAACATACAGAAGGGGGTGTAGCTCCTATCATGCCTCAAAGCCAGTCCGCTTGGCGAAGGTACAGTGATCCATACATGAATTGTCCATTTTCCAAAAGCAATCAGCCAATGTATTACAGTCTTCGGATAAATCAATAACTTCAGTAGCTTCAATTATTATAATGTAACACCCCGAATCTTCCCCAAAATCATAAAATGCCAAAACAGTGTGGCAGAACGCATGCTACCACTATATCCTACTGGGCTACTACCATAGCCCGAATGTTATTGCGGAGCGAAATCATAACATGAAGAAACTGGAAACGTCACATAAGGCCACTGCTTAGCACTTTAGATTTATGGATGGATACGATTGTACTATGAATTGAGAATAATTACTTTGTACTGATCCCGAGCGGAGAGGAGCCAATGCCATAAATCCAAGCAGATTTCGCAAACCATTTTACCTTTTTCTAAAAAACAGAAAATGCAGCTGGTAATGCTATTTGCAATATCTTATGGTAGTGAGCTGCAACTTTGCCCTGTTGGCTTAAATGCATCACTGGGGGCCAAACACGCATACCTACTCTTCTTGACTTGGTTCTAACGATGCAGTAATTTTATAAATGTAGACAGGAAATTAAGGGTCAGGTGGGGATTTTAATTCTGCAGGACATCAATATTAACAGCAGTAGCAACTATTTGAGCCCAACACAGAAAAGCAAAGTGGAGCGATAGGAATAGTGTGAGGGTAACTCAGTAGAGGAGGCGATAGTAATTGAAACAAAGGTAACGAGAAGAGGAAAGGATTGTGTGAATTATTGGCGTTAATTTACGACCCTTTCTCAGTGTCTTCGTGGTTTCATTTGTAAATAGCAGATGACTTCCTTCTGTGATTTTGAGGCCCAGTATCAGGCGAGTCCTGTAACAGATTTCTCAACGCTGCCACTGAAGTAGCATCCGACTTATCTCTGACGCCGTTAAAAGTCATGCAATTCTGAGGTGGGCTTACTAAAGAAGACTATAGAGCCAGTGGGACCAGAGCTATGCAGTAACATGAGTAGGTGAATTGAATGACCCTTGTAGTCATGTTCACAGTTTAAAATATGCGTATATAACCATCTCAAGTGGCTGGTAAATGATTGAAAGCAGCAAGCCTTGATCTATAGTAATATATCGCAAGTACCAAAACTTATGGACCTCATGGGTGGGTACGTATTTTTTGAATCCAATAAAACTCTAATGGGAGAAATTGTAGGTTGCTAGCTTTAAAACCAGTAGAGGGCAGCTTTGCTAGTTGAAAAGGTAAACGTTGTCAAATATGTCGGCAAAACGATAGTGCCATTCAATTATCCCCCCAAAAAGCGTTTTTTCTGGTCCCTCTCTAGGTCAGCCTTTCGCATCAGTTCGCAAACAGGCATATTTTTAGTCTAATAGTTGTGCCAGTGTAACCGTACAGAGGAGGGATGTAAAAGGTAATCTAAATTAGCCCTATCGAGGAGAGTGGAAAGGAGCACGTGAGTAAACACACAACTGAAACATATTTAGGGCTTCAAGTGGCTTCTTTTTAGCCTTGATTAAGAAGGAACCGGACATGAAATCGGTTGTAGGATATCGGTGCTGATGGTCACGTTAAAAGACGGTGGAAGTGGCCACCAACTTTTACTTGCGTTCGTTCCTCCTACTAGAAATTGTGGGAAGGCAAATAAAATTTTAAGATATACGAGATGTCAGACTGTCTGCCGTGAGAGTGATGGAACGCCTTCCTGCGGGGTGGTGTTAACACGAGGTTATACCATCTACGATACAGTATTTCTCAAACGTGGTTACATACGTATCTTTTTGTTTACACTTGCAAACGCCAATGTACTTGAAGACCTACATCTGGTTCTAGCAATTGCATATTTGAGTTACATACTTTGTGTGCCTTTTTGAAAAGAACGTTACAAGAGGCGCTCAAGTCAAATCGGGAGCTTAGATTCTTCAAGAGTTGTAGAGTGCCCTTCGAGAAGTACAAAGCGTGGTCATTTGCCGATATAGCCCTCTTCTACAACATTCACTCAATTTCTCCAGTGTTTAACCAATATCTAACAGGTAGCTTTGAAAGCGATATATATGCATCGCGTCTAAACCATTCTAGGGCGGCCTACTGGTCCCTGAAGTGGCAAATGTCCGTAAATGAACAGGTTTGCAGCAGCTTTGTATAACTGTGTCATACAACAGGCTATGCGTCGATCAGACATCCGGAACTCAGCATTTCACGTGCTGAATATTCACAGGCTTGTCTGCGTGCACTTAACTGAGTAAAACGCTACGTGCGGGAGGCAATCATGGCGCTACACTGAATTCAACTCGGTTTTGTCTTCGTTGAGCGAAGCGATGGGCCTTAAATGGAAAGGTCTATTTTGTGCTCTAGCCAAATCATTTTCTTATCACATTATTCATCCCATCGCTACATTACCGCAGAAGTAAGAAGTGATCCCCAAACTCGAGAATAGGAGGCGGCAGATAAAATAGCCACCAAATAGAGTCCAAATACGAAATGACGAAAATTTTTACAGGTGACGTGGGCGGGGAAGACATGCAATTTTCCACTTGTGTTGAAACGGTGTAGAAGAAATGTGACAAATCGGAAACAGCTAAAGGGGTTGCCGAAGGAACTTTATTTCGCAACACTACAAGACGACAACTTACCGCTCAGTTCAATCTACCTGTTGTGTAACTGTGAAATCTTTTGCCAAGTGAAGTGCAATATGCTGGTTGATTAACCCATGGATTCGGAAAAGAGGCTACTTAGGTACTCCGACATTGTAGCTTCGCCATAAAAGTTTACCTCTGAGCCATGTCATTAGACACCAATCCCTTCTCTACATCATAAATACATATTCTGCCCAAGTATTGTGTCTGCTTTCGTCTTCAGGGAAGTCTCGGGGCGCGCCATTAGTGGCAACTGAAAGCGAACCCAAACCATCCTTATTTCCACTGATGGGTGGTAAACCCTGGTGGGGCTGAAGTGAACATGTTGCGGATGGCAGAATCGGTGACGATTCCTGACAGAGCGGCTGAAAATGACTTTTACCTTTGTCAACTGCCCCAATTCTGTAGTCCGTACGGAGCCTATTTATAAATTTTAGGAAGATATCTCCAATACCTGCATGGAGACATCAGTTACGTGAAGACGCAATACCTTCAGTTCTCTACTTACTGGGTAAATGCCAGACATGACTCAGTTTTGAAGTGAGAGCAAAGTGGAAGGGAGAACTATGAGTGAAGCCCTTCCCCCACGAACTTTGTAAAATCCAGTCCTTTGTTACTTGACTCCTCTTTTAGAGCAGGGTTCCTACGTCTAGCTGTGAGCACGTGTGATGACCAGTGCACTCCTCATCCCCTATTCTATCTCTCGTACGGGACGCAACTCCAGATCCAGTAGAATTGCCAAAGGGGGCCAGTAACTTTACGCCCAAATATCTTCTCAGTTGCGCGCAAGTTTGGTGACTGGCACGGGTAATTCGTTGGTGTTTTTCGTACAGCGCTGATTACTTTGTGATAGCTGATACTGGAGAATGATCGAGGGGATTGCTAGCCATAATGCTCAACAGGTGAAGGGCTGTAGAATGCGTTGGTTACTTGTTCAACTCTCGGTTTTGGCAAAGGAGCCACGTAGAGTCTCCGTCATTGTACCTTCGCCATGTGGGCTGGCCTCCAAGTCAAGCCCTTCTTTTCGTGAGCAATGCATATTCTGCCCGAGTATTATGCCTTCCTTCGTCTTCAGGAATATCTCGGAGTGCTACAGGTAGCATGAAGCCGAACTCAGCCCACATCTCTACCATTAAGCTCCCAGCCCTTCATCACTACCAAGCTTGGCGCTAGTAATGACTTAAGACTTTGCCAGAAAACATTATAGAATTTAAGTTTAAGAATTTTTAGGGAAGCTAATTTAGGCAAATGTTTCTGCGAAAAATGGGTAACGTAGGAATACACCCTTCTAACCCTTACATTGCCAAACGGCTTCCCACGATGCGGTTCAGAACCCGACCTTTCACTGGACTTGATTCTTTTCTATCGGTAATGGGAAATCTTCCTACTTCTCAGTCTTCTGCGAATGCACCTCAATGCTGGAGGCATGGCCTTCCGCTCAGGCCACCAATGGCACCAGTCTCTTGGTCGTACTGTACACGTTTGACATTAAAGCCGAACTCGCCCGTCTCGTACATTGCCTTAACTGTTTTCAGCCATATCATGTAACATAGCTATCGACTAGTTTCCACATCTACTAAGAAAAAAAGCCAGCCATCGTCTTTACCTTCAGGCAACATTAGCAGTAGGAAGAGACACGTAACCCCAAGCACTCAAATTGCGCTGAAGAAGCAAAGCGATATTTGATACCAAATTTTAATGGGGCAAAAAGGCAGAGAAGGACATGCAAAAGAGCGTTCAAGTGAATAACGGTGTCAGCTGAACCTAGTGGTCCTGTTTGCACAATTTACGTTGTCTACTCAAGACGAAAGGTTTGACCAACATTAAACAGTATCCAGGAGCCTTCTGCTCTCGAATCAATTCAGCTAGCGCGGCCAAAATCTACAAGGGGTCATGCTTGCAAGAGACTTCGTAAGAGTTTGCTATAGGCAAATTTCCGTAGGATAGACGATTGACATACGAACTACGCTCACCGTAGAAAGTCGTCTAGTCTCAAGCAACACATGGCAAATAGATCCCATAATTTGGTTCCCAATCAGAACCATCATTGAGTTCAAGGATTGTCGCGCGGACGAGAAGTAGCGTCGTACGCTACCGGTAGGCGACCCTAGCACATCCAACAGTCTCGTAATCTCCGAGACAGTGGAGGGAGAGTCAAGGAGACCCTCGAAGTTAGCGGTCTCAAAGATGCCAAGAACGTGTATCACTCTACACGATCCCACCCCTCAATCTCCTCCCACTTTGTCACTAAGCTGGTGGCATGGGGGTCCGCTCATGCCATCAGAATCACCACTACGGAAATCAACCAACCACAGTTTCCTTGAATCGCGATCCGCCTTAGTAATAGCCAAAGAGCACAGTCACACTGCAGTGGAAAAAAATATGAGAAAAAAGCGCCAATTCGTATCAGGTCATATCAAATACGATACGCAAGATCAGATCAAAAGTGCGCAAGAGCAGGCGCATTATCCAACCGGTCAGCTAAAATCACTCACCCCTTACTGCATCCTTTAATTCAAGTGCATAAAAAATCCTCTCTCCGCCTGGAGGACACTTAAAGCTATGCTGCACCAGACCATTTCCTGTGCTATGCCTGTAAGTGTACTTGGCTAAACAGTTAGGCTAAATTGTACTTACTACACCATTAACCTGTACTTTTAAGACGAGGCAATGCGAAAGAGCGGAAGTGGTACCATGCACTTCATTGCAAGAGCTTTTCCAGCCTTTCGTGTGGATCTACATCTCCAAGTCCCTCTGCAGTTATTTCAAATAGAGCTACTTCAAGAATGGTACCTTAGTATACCTTCAGGAGAAAAGCCAGCACCACGTTGGGAGCAGTGTTGATGGACCCATCTCAGAAGTAGCAATCCCGATTTTGGTGAGTGAGCAACAAACCAGAATGTCACAAAAGGAAGGCATCACAAGAATAGGAAAGCTGTCGAAATCACGACAGCCTTTAAAAACCACCAGCATCCTGAGTCCTGCCCAATTGCCAGTAACAGAACTGCTGTGAAAAAGCCAAACAGGCGGATGAGTGGCATTGGAGCAGCAACAAAGCGAAGAGGAATAAACACTGACCGTGACTTGACAGATCTATTCCAAATTTAAAATTCCACTCTTTTTAGGCAGATGTCCCCCAATCAAAAAAAGAGCTATACTCGAAATGCAATCCTCTTAGGGCATCGTCCGATTCTCAGCAACAAAGTGACGAGTAAATACTTCTTCAAAGGAGCTTACAACCAAGTCAGCAGTTAGTTCTAAGTATCTGGTAGCTGTGCCATAGAACCGTTGGGAAACTCCTGAACCCAAATTAAATGTGGCAGTAATTTTCTTGACTACTTTTCTATTGTTTAAATAAAACCATCCGCAGAGAGCGCCAAATGATGAGGGAGACGGAGAAGTAAACCGACCTCCCGGGCTCCTACAATTGAGCCACCACACAAATGATAAACCAATTGCCCGTGTATGACTGGTCTGCTACCCCTTTCTGTACGATAATAAAACTGTTTCCGGAATTCCATACCTTCATGGGTAAATTAAGCAAGGCACGTGCAGCTACCAAGCCTTCGATTTACCTGCTTCCAAACTAGCATCCTATTAGGGGTAATTCAAGGCTGTATGCAACCATGCGCTCCTTCATTGATGAGTTAAAAGCAAAAAAAATCAAAATCAAATATAAAATGATCAAGGCCGTACTCAGACCTTCCTGTTAGCCACATTGTAAGTCATGCGAGAGTTCATTCGCCTCCACACGATCTCCTTCTTGAAAAACCGAGAGAGATGCCGACAAACCCTGGCCTCTAGATTCGTATCGCTGAGCAGGAGACGCGGTTCCACCTGGCGCAGGAACAATCGAAGCCGCATCGGCAATATCGACTCCGCCCGCAATCGAGCCGCCAAACGATGGGTGAATAGATGCCTCGCGAAGGCCACAAACATCATATCAATTTGGTTTCGTGCCTCCGCCACCTGCTTCCAGTCACTGGACAGGAGACCGGGCTCTTGATACGCCTCACTCACCCATGAAGTATTTATGTTGTTTTTGAAGGGGATACGGAAGACTAGACCGAGGAGCATACGATACATGTACTGCGTGTAGATGGTGTGTTCAATCAAACCGAAGGTGGCGAAGGCGGTGGCGAGATTCTCCACCGCGGAGGCGAGGAGGTCAATTTGAGGGGGAGAAAGGGAAAAATTAACCGCCAGATTAGCTGGTTTAGTCCACTCTCTCAAATTGGAGTAGCAACCGAGATCGTCAAGGGAGGCAATCATACGAGTCTGTCGATTACTAGAGAGGGAGCCCGGACAGTTGGCGAAACGATTGAAAGACAACTGAGACACGTTAGCGTCGAAGACGTAGGAACAGGGTAGGTATTGGAAGGGACGAGGTGACAGACCACGACAACGAAGAGTAGCTTTTACCCAAGTGCCTCCGCGGCGCGTGTGTAGCCACTCGCTCACGTAGCGGTCAAGAGCGCCACGGAGAATCGTGAAGTAGACCAATCGCCCTGAAATAATAGAAATTCTTTAATAAGCACAACTCAGGGGTAAGTGTCATAAACGAGAAACGTTGACCTACGGGGTCTTTCATGACCTTCTAGCTTATTGAGCATCCTTGGTACGCATTCACGAAGTTCTGTGAAATCTGCATGAAGACCACATCGCCAACCAACAGAATATCTGAAAATTAAATAAGATGTGAATGGCACTACCGGCTGAATAGCCACACGTCTTGGTCGCGATAACACCTGCAGAACTTTACCCCGCGTTTACAATTGCAAGGAAAACCAAGCACGCCGTCCTTCGTTAACGCAGACTCGACAAAAGTTCCACCCGTCTTTTGAATGTGTACAAATACTAAAACTACTTCAGAATTGAATTCGGGATAGAAGAAAGTATAACTCTTTGAAAAGGGATGTAAAACCGCGCGGTGACTTTCAAATGCACCGATGATATGTGCACGTTGAACATACCAATACAAGAGGATGCACTGAGTTGCAACAAGGAAAAGAACGCGATAGATGTTTGTGAAATTCGAGAACTTGGTTAACCTAACCATTATCAAACTGATAAGAGAACAATGAGGGAACTAAAACACGCCCACCGTTATGTATTGTCAAGGCCGACCGATCACGTGATTGTGAAAGAAATAAAAGGGTAAATAATTGAGAGGTGTCCTAAAATTAGGGTTAAAATTATGCATTATTAAATTGCTGAGTGTTTAGATTTGATGAAAATGCACCTGCTCTTTTAAAAAACCCTTTGAGCTATCTTCCCACACCATTCGACCATAGACATGCAACAAAATAAGCAAAACTTCTCTGATTTTGTTACTTTCATCAAAGATAATAAAATCTTTTGCCCAGTCTAAGGCCTATTGTTCAGCCATTTGTGTAATACGATAGTGGTTTATCCCTCGGTTCTGGTGAGGCGCCACTTTTTGTACTTTGAATTAGCCCCCTTGTACCTCGCTGAGTGGGCTGGCCTTTTGGGCCATGCCGATAGCCCAGACACCTTCTCTGTGCTGAATATATATATTCTGCCCGAGTATTGTGTCTTCTTTCGCCTTCAGGGAGACCCGGGACGCTACATTTGTAGCCAAACTTTTATCGCAGGTGGCGTCTTTCTACTCTTCTATACCCATTCTTTTCAAAAGAATAAAGCACGACAAGTACTGACAAGTTGGGTACCAGATGCCTTTCGACGGTGATACGAGTCTATTAGCAAAGAGAAAATCGCCATCGTTATGTTTGAAATGCAGCCTGATACAATAAGATCCCCAAAATTAAATCTAAAAGGCAAAATTGCTTATCGCTGCTTACTTTAGTGTGATTTACAATCACGCGACCATTGGATTTCTTCGGTATCCCAAATGCTTAAATTTCCTCAGGTAAAATTTTTAACCAACATGGGTACTTTGTAACCACTATTTTGCTTTAAAGTTTGATGGTTGTTTGTTATCTGCAGAAATAAATTTAGGGGTTTAACACAATTTCGTGATTTAGGTAAATTAACCAGAACACACATGTATCTTGTAATTGCGCTGATAAAAGAAAACTGGTATTAAATAAAGCAAAACTGAAGTTCGACACTTTAAGGAATCATCTATTATGATAAATACAAAACTGAAGTCTGTTTCTTTGTCTCCGCTTATTTTATCGTACTCGTGTTGCTGTGCCTTATTCGTAATCAGGCAATCCGCTGGTTCGGGGCTGATGTTAGTTCGTAGTCATAAATTATTTTTAGGGAGGTTGTCTTCTAATGTCAGTGCAATCGACTTGCTTTGCGAACTTCCCAAGTTCGGTACTGTTCCGGACCTTTGGATAGCAAAAAATTCCCCAGGTTTTGCGTTTGTTCAATTTAAAATATTCACCGATGCTGAAAAAGCTGTTTGCGCTCTGGATGGCGTTACGCTTTGCGGATTTAAACTGCGTGTAGAGTTTGCACATAATCGTTCACTCAACGGCTAGTTTGATTTTTGTCACCCCTTTCTCCCCCCCGACTGGCAGTGTTCAACGCGCTTCTCTAGGTGACCGTTCGCGTTCATTTGGACACTGCCGACGATATATTGATTCTCGAGGTGCTCGAATGTCTCTAGTGTGCCACTTCGGGACCTCACTTCATCGTGGGAGGTCGCCACCACCTGGTATACTTTCGGGCGACCAGTTCCGTTATCCCTACGACCACTTGGTTGCCTTCCATAGTCCAGACATGTTGAACGCCGCAGTGGCCGCTGCTGCAGCTGGCTTACCTTACCAAATCTCTGCCTACCCCAGCATGTTTCCCTTGCCACAAGCAGACGATGTACACCGAGTGATGAAATATTCGCGACGGATTTCACTCCGAGGATCTCCTTTCTATCACAGAAGGTGATTTGCTGGTTTTTTCGTCACCGTCGTCGTCGATGTCATCGT